ATTGTCTAAAAAGGGAAGGCAGAGAACATTGTTAATCTTGTATCATAATTTGAAACCCATACTGTTTTCATCACTCTGTTTAGTTTGGTTATATTCTGTTCTAGTCTGTCTGCTTGTACTAGATTTGATGGCATGGACAGCTATTTCAAAGATAGCAGGGTATACTATGGTTACTATTTTTGATTTCCTATTAACTTAATTTGAAGCCCTGTATTGCTTTCACTGTCTTGATGGGCTTTCCTTTATAGATCATCTTTTTCTTTTCCTAACAGCTTTTAATATTCTTTTCTTGTATAGTATTCCTGAAATTTTGATTATCATAAGTCTAGGTATATTTTGATTTGGATTTGGAATATCATTGATCCTTTCAACCTGCCTCGTGTATAAATAAACACACTGCAGTCCTTGAGCAGTCCTTTTTCTCCCACTCAGAGAGAGGGCTCCGCCTGACTGCAGCTTTCTGTTTTCTAACTCTTGTCTTTATTTCTTCATTGTCCACTGTCCGTCTGAAAATTTCAAGAGCTGAGCTGGATACAGCAGTCATGCAGGGAGAGGTCTTTTCTGGTGACTATGCCTCTGTGATGTATCTTGGATTGTGGGTATATCTCCATGTGAGTTTCCACTTGTATGTATGTATGTATGTATTTATCTGGATGATAGGTATACCTCCTAGCACTTCTGGTGAATGCCTTAGAGTGACCTATGAGTGCTATTTCCTCTTGAATCACTGTAATAGAATTTTAGAAGACTATCTCTTTTTAAGGTGCTCATTCTTCCCAAGTTGATTTATAGTCCCAGGAACTAGGAAGACTGAGGCAGGAGAATTCTTTGAGCCTAAGAATTTGAGGCCAGACAGAGCAACATAGCAAGATTCTATCTACAGTGGTACTACACCACAGGTAAAGAAACACTAGGGTACAACAGTCCACACTTGCCTTGCCAAGCCCTGGGTTAAACATCTTTTTCGTATATGTATTCTCTTTTCTCCCAATGATAGAACTTGAATTTTCTTTCTTTCTTTTTTTTTTTTTTTTTTTTTTTGGTCTTTTTCGTTTTTATTGGTACCAGGGATCGAACTCACGACTGCCTGCTTGCAAGACAGGCGCTTATGCCACTGAACTAAACCCCCAGCCCTAAACCCCCAGCCCTAGAACTTGAATTTTCCTATCTCTTTTTTAAATTTTTTCAATTTTAAAAAGATTAAGACAAAAGAGGACATAACAAAGCAGATCAGATCAGAACAATGCAAGTAACACAGCATTTTGCCATAAGATAACCCATAATTAACATTAACTACCATGTCTCTTTCTTTGAAATAGTTGAATAGCTTCATATATGATAGTATCAAGCATAACAAAACAGTATAAAACCATTCAAGATAATGAAAGCATTACAGGGCTTTCAGAACCAAATAGCAGAGAGAACAATGGCTACTGTGTTACCTCATTTTCCATAGAAAATTTGTTTATATTACCACACATAATAATACCCAATAAGATATAACAGGATAGAACCAAAGGCAACAGAAAAACAAAAGCATAGTAGGACTTCATAGTAAGATGATACTAAATCAGCTCTGGCTATTCTAATGTCTTCTTTTCTTTAAAATAGCTGTTTATACTATCACAGATAATAAAATCAAACAAACTAGGATAAAACCATTCCAACTAATGAATGCAGACATTATAAGGCTTCAGAGCAATGTAATGGGGAATCATGATTACTATAAACTCTTATGTACTCTTACCATTTCTTATACTAGGGAGACTATATGGTATTTATACATGTGAGTTTGATTTATTTCGCTTATGAGTATGGTTTCAATTGTGTCCATTTATTTATAAATATCTCAATGTGATCATTCTTTATAGCTGAGTGGTACTCCATTGTATAAAAATACCACAGATTTTTAATCCATTCCTCAGTTGATGGACCTTTAGGTTGTTTCCAAGATCTGGCTATTACAAGTTGTGTTGTTATAAACATGGGTTCACATATATCACTGTGGTATGATGTTTTCAGTTTTTCTGGGAATATGCTTAGAAGTGGAATAGGTGGGACAAATGGGACTTCCAATCCCAGCTTTTTGAGAAATCTCCAGACTGACCTCCACAATGACTGCACCAGTCTACACTCCTACCAACAGTGCAGGAGAGGTCCCTTTTCCCCACAGCCTCTCCAGCATTTGTTGTTGGTAGTTTTCTTGATCCTGCCCATTCTTTCACTTTCTATCTCTTCTTAATTTTCAATTTCCACACTTCTGGTGGAACTAATTCTACTGTTAGATCAATGAAATGACCAATAATTATGGATTATTTTCATTGTTTCAACACTTGTCCATTGGTATGGCATACCAGCTAGGTAGATATGATCTTACTCCTGATAAGTCACTTTCCACATGGTAACAATTGTTAAATTTAGCTATGACACTATTCTACCTAATCAGAACATTGAATACATTGCTAAGAATTGGTTCAGGATGGGCAAATGAGTCAAGCCAAGACAATCACCAGTTATCACTATTCCTCATGACTATTGTTTGATCAACCAAAAAACAGTGCTTTTTTTCCAGTATAAGACTGAAACCATGTGGGAAGAGTTTGCCTATGAGTAAGCTAATGCAGAATGACACAAATAAGAGGTATGGAATAAGAGATTAAGTCCTGATTATATCATTTAAACTCTGTGTTACAAATCAATAAACTCCTCTTTCCTACATTGTTTAGTTTAAGTGGGTTTTATGTCACTTGCAATTGAAAGGTTCTCAGTAATGTTTCCCACCTAAGTTCACATGGAACATCCCAATTTACAGCATCTACTTTTGTAACCTGTACTCCATTCTCCATATAGCAGCCAGAATGATCTTTTTATAAAACAGAGCATGTAACATCTCTGTTTAAAATTTTTTCAGGGTTTCCCATCCCACTTAGGCTAATTAAGACCCAACAGAGCCTATTTCTTCCCCATCTTTCCAGACTCAGCTTTCTTATATCTCTTCTTACTTATTATTCTGAAGCTGTGATTTACTTTAATTACCACAACATAACAAAACTTTACACCTCGAAGATTTTGTATGTGCTATTTCTTTAATCTGGACTGATCTCCTCATTTATTGCCTGGCTGGCTGTTCCCTTTTGTCTCACTTCCTTGGAAGAGGTCTACTGTGCCACCATTATAAAGAGGACTACCTTTGTTAACCTTTCTCATAGTGGCTTTTTCATTCTCCTTCATAGCATTTATCAGAGTGTGGTATTATGTATGTATTGTTTAATGACTAAATTTACTTTTGTGTTTTGATTTTGTTTTGTTTCTTTTTTTGTTTTTTGAGAAGGGTCACCTATGTAGTTTAAGGCTAGCCTTGAACTCATACTATCGCTGGCCTTCACCTTGTGGCAATCCTCTTGCCTCAACCTCTCAAGTGCTGGGATTATAGGCATGCACCACCATGCCTCGCCTAAATTTACTTTTTAAATGGCTGGATCCCTCACTAGACTTAAATTTCACAAAAGCCTAAAACCTGATAATCTGATATCTATTCTGTTTACCATGATATACTGAGTACTTTATAAAATGCTTGGTACAAAGTAGATACTCTACAGATATTCATTGAATAAACAAATGGATGCATGATACTATGCTTGGATGCTAGCTTAAAATAACAGATGAAAATGATAATTTCATTAGAAGCTTTTAACTACAGACCAGTGAGAGATCCAGACTACAGGCAGGACATAACAGAATCTGGGATTCATGAACCATCAGCAAGTAGCAGAGGTCACATACGGTGCATAAGTCTAACACTTCAGGCTTAATATGGGGAACTATTGTTTTTTCCTTAATAATAAAAGATCAACAACAACAAAGAACAAAAGAACACTGAACTAGGATAGCTGAAAAATGGAAATGCAACCCAGCCTAGATCCAGGGAATGACCTAGCTCTTACTTAGAATTAAGACCCTGACTCAGAGCCCCTTCATATCCAGAAATTGAGCTAATATAAATCTACTTGAAGTTTATGTTTCCTGTTTGATATTCTGAGTGTTTTATAAGCTAAACTGATCAAATCAATCTTTGGCTGACTCACTTAAGTCATTCATTTTTTTGCTTTTAAAAGGTATTTAATTTCATCTGTTTCCCACCATAATTTCCCTTGGAGTTGTTTAAACTTTCATTTGACTCTTTCAGGAAAAGATTGTAGTTTAACCATCATCAGTGAGAAATCAATTCATCTCAGAGGTCAAGTTTAACAACAGTGGTAGCAAACTATCAACAAATGTGTAGTTTATGGATAAGGGAAGAGTACAAACCCACAAGAATGAAGTAGCACTGCTGTCTACCTCCTTATTTAGACTCCGCTTTCTCAGTCCCTCCATTTAGCACCAGTACAGTATAAATTAACTATTTAGTTCTTTACAGGTAACGAAATGGTCAAATTTGGAAGAGGCGTATGCTTTATACACTCTGCATTTGTAAATAGGTATTTCTAAGCTAGTTCCCCAAAGTTTCTAGAGTCTATGAGTTTTATTTTCATAACAATATAGCAAAATAGTAAGCAACAGACTTGTACTGCTAATAATGCTTGAAAATGGAAATGTGTCAATGCTTTGCTTATTTTATTAAATCAACACATTTGTTTCACAATATGTTTTGCTATGATTATTTTGAAAGAAAATACTTTTGAAGTTAGAGTGCTGGGAAATTTAAATAGCATACTTGTATGACAGCGTCTTAAAATGGGTAGAAAATAACCAAACATTGTACTAATTATTTTCTGTCTGTAAACAGAGAAACTTTCTTTCCTGTACTCCCAGACCGATCCTAGTACTATGAAGCCTAGCAAAGTGCAAGGCGTAAGCATAAGTGTTCCCATCCATATACCCTATGGAGGCTCCATTTAGGAATAATTATTATTTTCACAGGCTGGCTAGCTGGCTATAAAAGAAAAAAATTATGCAAAAGTGATATATATGTATTTTAAAATAAGCACAAAGAAACTTACTTTTCTTCATGTTTCGCAAAATTTTCAAACTCTACAAAATTGAACAAAAGGGAAAAAATTAGTTTTTCTCTAAAATTCAAAACAATTAAATTAAAATAAGTCAAAAAGATTAATTTCCTTAAAATAGCTATGAAACACAAAATTATTTTTTCATCTTGCCATTTTTTACTCAGTACAAAATTTCCACTTGATTTTAATCTTGCTATTTTTCCCACCTATATTAAGTATCATGCTGCATATTTAAAATAAGACTGACAGAGTGTCAGGAATAAAAATGAAGTTCCTACTTCTATCTTTTATTAGGAAAATTCCAGAATCCACAATGGCCTCTGGACATAGCTGTAATATATAGTCATTCCCATCCCAGCCAGAAAAATGAGTTTTGTTTTTTGTTCCTACAAAATGAGTTTTGTAGGAATTGAATTCAGCACCTTGTGCTTGCCAGGCAGGTATTTATACCATTGAGCTATATCCCCGGCCCCTCTAGCCAGAAAGTTTTGCCAATCATAATCTGTATTGAACTTTCTGTTAGCCCCACTTTGATACAATCAACCATGTTATGTCTTTTTTTACCCCTTTTTATGCTGGCATCTCTACCTTCCCTTCCCAGTAAATTACTCCAAGTTCTTCTTTCCTTAACATTTACTCAGCATGTATGTTTTTATTTATAATCTATTTCATGGCTACTATATTCTTCTTGATAATTTTCATACAGGCCTCATTTAAGTGCTCTGTTCCAACAGATTAACTATAAACTCTTTTCAAGAGCAGGTAGATGTCTTTTATGATATACCCACTTTCCTAACACCTAAGATAAATATATTTCTCAAAATATTTAAGAAGAATTTCTGAAAAAATTTAGGTTTTTAGAAAGTTATTTACAATTCAAATGTCTTAGCAAAAAATGTTCTCATCCATGCTGGTGGTGCATGCCTGTAGTCCTAGCTACTCAGGAGGCTGAAGCAAGAGAATTATAACTTTGAGGTCAGCCTGGACAAAACAGCAGTACACACACACACACACACACACACACACACACACACACACTGCTCTCATCCTGTTCTCTAATTATTCATTTTCTAGCCTTTGGGTATATAGCCTAGTTTCTTATTCTAGAATTACTTGTGAATATGTAAGTAAATACACATATAGACAACATTTGCATTTTCATTCTTTTTAGCTGCATAGTATCCCATGACACATATGCATACAGTATAATTTATAATTTATTTCATTGGTTCTCTAATAATTAACGTTCATAGTTGTTTCCTCATAATCTGCTCTTGTAAATGATGCTGCCGTGAGTACCTGATATACATGTTATTTCATGTGTGTACAAGCATGGATATAAAGTAAATTCCTGGAAGTGAAATTGTTAGATCAAAGGATATACGCATTTGTAATTTTGATATTGCTACACTGCCCTCCATAGAAGTTGCACCATTTTTTTGAAGTTGCACCATTTAATTAAGGGGAAAAAAAGAAAAAAATAGATATTGTACCACTTTTCATTTCCAACATAGTAGCACATGCAGCCTAGATGTGGTAGTGTATCTCTAATCCTAGCTCTCTGGGAGACTATGGTTTAGTAAGACCCTGTTGCAAAATAAAAAGTAAAAAGGGCTGGGGATGCAGCTCAATGCAAAGGCTGTGGGTTCAGTGCTGAGGGACCCCCCCAACACACACACACAAAGAAAACAGGCATATATATGCTTATTTCCCCATAGCCATAGAGTCCCTACAGGGAGTGTAATCACACTTTTGGAATTTGCCTTTCCAACAGATGAAAAGCAATATGTTATTGTGGTTTTAATCTGTTTCTCTTATTATGAATGAAGTTGAGCATATCAAATGTTTAAAGGACAGACAAACTCTGCTCATTTATTTTCTTTGAATTATCTACGTATGTATTTTTGCCCATTATAGGGCTATTATTGTTTATGAATTTCTAGCAGTCCTCTATATATTAGACAAATATTCTTAAGGCTATTGATGGCAATTGCAGATACTTTTCTCCACTTTGTTTTTTTTTTTTAGAAATCTTTTCTATTTCAAGCATGAATTCTGTTTTGTTGTTTTTTTGAGACAGACAACTTGTGGTGATCCTCTTGTCTTAGACTCCCAAGTGCTGAGATTACAGATATACCCCACCACGCCCAAACTTTTGAAACACATATGCGTGTGCACATACACGCTCCCATCCAGCTTTTTTTTTTTTTTTTTCAGTATTAGAAATTGAACCCAGGGCTTTTGTACTGAGCTATTTATTTTGAGACAGTATCACTAAATTGCTAAATTGCCCAAGCCGGGTTTCAATTCACGATCCTTTTGTCTCAACCTCCCAGAGCGCTGGAATTATAGGCATGTACCACTACACCTGGCTATCTTTTTGTTTCTAAGGCATTTTTTTTCACCATGTAGAAATTTTCTGCTTCATTTAGTTGAATTTATGTGTCTTTTTTGTTACAGTTTCTGAGTTTTTAGTCATAGTTATAAAGGTCATGAATAATTTAGGATTATAAAGAAATCTTTTCAATATACTTTAGTACTTGTATAGATTGTGTGTGTGTTGTATATATTTTAACATGTAAATCTTTTAGCCATTTAGAATTTATTCTGATGAAGAAGGGCGTTACAACTCCTATTAATTTTTTTTGGTAGTTGACTCCCTAATCCAACAACAATTATTAAATCATCCATCCATATCACCTGATTTTACGTACAGCTGGTAAATTCCTAAATATTTTGAATCTATTTCTGGAATTTGCCCTTCTATTCTATAGAGATGTATTTCTTTTCATTCACCAACATCATACCATTTTAATTACTGTGGCTTTACAGTGTTTCAATATCCAGTAAGGCTACCCTCCGCTCATTGCATTTATTTGTTCCTTGCTTGCTTGTTTGCATTTCATGGCTGTTCTTAATCTATTCTCCTCCCCTAGATAAGCTTTCAGTTTGTCTAGTTCTAGGAATAAACAAGTTGGTAGTTTTATTGGGCATATATTTAAATTTATAAGTCAGCCTTAGGGAGAAATAAATTCTTAATGTAGTGGTATTTTCTTTTGTGTGTTTTGTTGTTTGGTTGATTTGTGGCACAAGAGATTGAACCCAGGACCTCCAATATGCTGGACAGGTACATTAGCCCTAAGTACACCCCATCTGTCTTTTTGTTTTTTGTTTTATTTTGATACAGGGTCTCACTTAAGTTGCCCAGGCTGATTTTGAAACTGTGATCCTCCTTCCTCAGCCTCCCAAGTAGCTGAGATTATAAATGTTCAACACTACATTTAGGTGGTTTCTTTTGTTTTGGTTTTTTTTTAAATCGGTACCAGGGATCAAATTCACGACCACCTGCTTTCAAGGCAGGTGCTTATGCCATTGAGCTAAATCCCCAGCCCCTAGATGGTTTCTTTTTATTACTTTTGATTGTTGTGAGATCATCAATTCATTTGAGTAAAAATATTTACTCTAATTTTATATATTAGTCTGGGAAAGGAAAAAAAACTTTAGTAAGGAAAGCTTCTCGTATATTTTCTAAATCTTTACCTTACTCCTTGTGAAATTTTTTCCAGTAGTCTTCATTATTTGTTTTGAAGATGCTGAATTTTCCGTGGTTTCAGGATAGTTAACTGAATAAGTTTCTGTGGATTGGGTCTGCATACCTTAAAAAAATAAAAAATAGAAAAAGTGTTTTATGCATAGTTTCTTAAGCCTTTGGGTTATATGTAGTATATATTCAATAATTCTTATCTTGGCTTTTTAAGGCATTAGTCCTGCTCTATATTGTGGATTTTAGAAAATATGTTTTATCTTATTTAATCATTCTTTGTACCTTTTTCATTTAGGTCTTACTTTGTTGTTAACCTTTTAGCATTCTCATTTTTTGCACCTCTTCCATCTAGGTCTTATTTCGCTGTCAGCCTTCTAGCACGCTCATTTTTATTACGTTTTGGAAAGAAAGTACATAGTATCACTTACAATCTTCATCAGCAAGAAAGAAGGACTCTAAGGTTCTTTCTGGGAGTGGAGGTGGAGAAGGAGATGAATCCTGACGTGGAACTATCATGGGAAAAGTATACAACAAAGAAACCCATCAAAAAATTATAAATCAAGCCTTTGATCACAAATTATGCCTTTGTGGCATGATTTTGCAATTAGTCAATCTTAACTTATGGCTACCAAATAAAAAATTATTTCAACTGTTATCACACTTAAGAAACTGTCCCTCTGCCTCTTTAGTCAACAAGCTCACAATTCGTCAAAACTTATAAATCACTTACAGATGTACTCTTCCAGAGAAATCAAAACTGAATTTAATCAAGCTTCTAGATCTAACTACTATTTTACAAGAAATGCTGAAGAAGGGGCTGGGGGTTTAGCTCAGCGGCACAAGCACCTGCCTTGCAAGCAGGCGGTCGTGAGTTCGATCCCTGGTACCGATAAAAAGGAACAAAACAAAACAAAAAAAAGAAATGCTGGAGAATAGAGAGACATGTTAAATAAAAGCATAGGAATATAATTAGTTAATGCTAGAATGTTTTGCAAGTGCAGGGTTGTTTGATCCCAGTATTAAAAAAAAAAAACCAGAATGTTAAGCTCTTAAGGACATATTATCCACTCTCTTCAACAAATAAATGTCATAAAAGAATATAAAAAAGAAAGAACTGTTACAGATTTTAAGTGTAGGAAACATATAGATCGAATATAATATGTAAACTTTGAATCCAGACAAATCAACTATAAAAATCCATTTGTGAAGCAATTGGAGAAAGATGAACAAAGCCTAGATAGTATATAAACTTAAGGAATTATTATTAGTTTTATAGGCATTAATATTATTATGGTAGGTTTAACAAATGTATTTGAAATTTTCCATGATAAATATTTTTAACAGAGCTATTTTCCCATGACATAACCTGAAGACACAAATGATGTTCTACTGACATAGCTTCTTATCATATAGAGCTGAGTATTATTTTACAGTATATTAACACCTTTTGAAAATGAAAGTGCATTTAAATACTAGAGTTTCACTATTTTTTAAGCCTTAGAATTTATCTATGAAGTTTTCTCCTTTCTTTCTTTCTTTCTTTCTTTCTTTCTTTCTTTCTTTCCTTCCTTCTTTCTTTCTTTCTTCTTTCTTTCATTTGTACTGGGAATTGAGCCCAAGGCCTTCATACTGAGCTACACTCCCAACCCTTTTTAATATTTTCATTTTGTGACAAGATCTTGCTAAGTCGTTAAATTGCCCAGGCTGGGTTCAAACTTGCAATTATCCTACATCAGCCTCCCAGAATGCTGAGTTTACAGGCATGTGCCATCATGCCTGGGTTCAAGTTTCTTATTTCTTGTATGCTAGGTAATATACAAAAGTACGGTTGTAATTTCCAGTACCTAATTCAATAACAGGTATATAATAGGCATTTAATAAATATTTGATATAACTGGATTGAACTAGTTTATTATCTTCCAATTGGCTGTTAAGAAATATTCTGAGAACTAAAACTATCAGTAAGAATATCATAGCAGATATCTTAAAATATCATTTCAACTGTTTGGAGGGGTTGGGTTTTTTTTGGTGGTACTGGAGATCACACCTAAGAGTTCTCTATTACTGAGCTTCCCTTTAATTTTTTATTCTGAGATAGGATCTCACTAAATTAGCACGGTGGGACTTGAAATTGCTATCCTCCTGCCTCAGCCTACATGAGTTTATAGCCATGCACTACCACACCTGACCCATTTCTTCGTAAACTCCTTCAGTCAAGGATTCACAATTCTCTTATTTACTGCATTAAATTTTAATTCTTCTGCCTACTCCTGTGTGTGTTATAAAATACAGTTAAGCATTACCATTAATGACAGTGTTACATTCACAGTATTGTTTGGTCATTACCACTATCTAATTCTAGAATATTTTTATCAGTCTGAAAGGAAGCTCTGCATCCATTTAATGAGCAGTCTCCTTTGTTTTTGTTTGTTTGTTTTTTGTTTTGTTTTATGTGAAGTTTAGGCTGGTCTTAAACTCATATGTAGCCCAGGTTGGCCTCAAATTTGCTGTGATCCTCCTGCCTCAGTCTCTTAGTGCTAGGATTACACGTTTACACCACCATGCACAGCTGAATAATAATTCTCTATTCCCTCTTTCCCTTACCCACTGGCAACCATTAATGTGCTTGCTGTCTTTATGGATTTGCCTATTCTGGATATTTTATCTGGCTTCCTTTTAAGTCCTTCAGTATCTTGCCATGTCTTATCTACCAAAATTTATTTTCTCTGTCTCACAAACTGCAACTTCTATTGCAATAAAAGTAATGCACTCATGAGCTGTGGATACAGTTCAGTGGCACAGCACTTGCCTATTTGTGTGAGGTGCTGGGTTCAGTCCCCAACAGCATAAATAATAAGTGACTCACTCCCTCTCTCTGCACATATCATGTTCATCTCTACATTTGAGTTACAGTAGACTGATCATTCACTGCTCCTGGAATTCCCTCTCATATCTGTCTGTCTCTCCAGACTTTTAAAAAATTATTCTCCTGTCAGTGAAGCCCTTCCTAACCATTCCAATAATACCATTCCATGTTTTCAGACCAGTGATTATACTCAGTGCCACAGAGATTATTACTTCGTGGTTCCATGTCGATATTCATTTTATCTATTCAACTTGAATATAAGCATTAGGTAGTGCTTTTTATTATATATCCTGCCTATTCTAACTTTGTATAGTAAGGTACCCAGAATTTCCTTAGTAAATGCTCACTTAATGATTAGCTAATGAAATTTATAATAGGTAACATTGAATGACAGTATGCTATTTAATAAGCACTGTCCTAAAAACTTATTATCTCAATTAATCCTCATAAAAAACCCTCTAAGTGGTTTGAGTATCCTTATAAATGAAAAAATCAACAATTCAGAGAAATTACATAATTTAAACAAGGTTATACATTTTGATAATTGTAGTATACCAATTTGTGGTAAAGCTGATTCCAAAGCCTTTTTTCTAATCTGCATATTATATGATATTAATCTATTTCTTTGTAATAATATAATTGTTGCTTGATGTATATAAACAAACAAAGCTTAAGAAAGTATTAGAAATGCAATAGCAAATCAAAACACCAAGAAGCCAGAAGTAACTTTTTAGACTCACACTGTTAACAATGGTAAAATCAGTATGATGGAAATGCTGCTAACATTTTAAATTAAATGTATTTTTAATTGATACATGAAATCAGACATGGTGGCACACATTTGTAATCCCAGCATTCAGAGACTGAGGCAGCAGGATTACCATGAGTTCGAGGCCAGCCTGAGCTACATAAGCAAGTACAAGGCCAGTCTGGACTACATAGTGAGATCCTGTCTCAAAAACAAACAAAAAAATTGATATATGAAAGCATAAAATTTTCATATATTAATGATAGTATGTGATGTTTCAATATATGTATGCATTATGTGATATTTAAATCAATAAACAAATCTCCTCAAATATTTAATCATTTTTATGATGAAAATAAGTCTTTCTAGCCTTTTGAAATACAAAGTATATAATTGTTATCTGTGGTCATCCTACTGTGCAATAGCAAACTTTAATTTACTTCTATATAATTATGACTCAATATTCATTGATCAAACTTTTCCATTTCTCTTTCCTCCTGCTCTCCTCCAGTTACATTCCCCCCAACAGACAAGCACTGTTTTACTCACGACTGCTATGAGAGCAACTCATTTAGATTACACAAATGAGGGCTTGGGGATTTATCCCAGTGGCATAACCACCTGCCTGGCAAGGGTGAGGTCATGAGTTCAATTCCCAGTACCAAAAAAAAAAAAAAAAAAAAAAAAAGCTAGATTACACCTATGGGTGATATCATGTAGTATTTGTCTTTCCATGCCTGATCTGTTTCCCATAACATCTCTATCCACCTCAATCTATATTGATTTTTGTTGGGGGTTATTTATTTACTTAATGGTGCTGAACGGAGGGTCTTGCGTATACGGGGCAAGTACTCTACTTCAGAGCTGCACTTTCAGGCAGATTCCTTCCATATTGTTGCAAATACAGTACTTCATACTTTTTAATAGATAAACAGTATTTCACTGTGTATATGTATCACATTTTCTTTATTCATTCATCAGTTAATGGGCACTTAGGTTGTTGCCATTTGTTGGCTATGGTGAATAGTTGTGCAGTAAACATGGGGCTCCAGATGTCTCTTCAACATACTGGCCTCATTTTCTTTGGATATAGCTCTAGTAGTGGGACTTCTAAACCATATGGAAGTTCTATTTTTAATTTTTTGATGAAACATTATAGTTTTTTAATAAGGGCTGTAACAACTTACATTCCCCCCAACAGTATATAAGGGTTTCCTTTTCTCCACACTCTTACCAACACCTGTTTTCTTTTGTCTTTATGATAAAGGCTATTCTTACTACAGTAAGGTGACACTTCTGTGTGGTTTTGACTTGCACTGCCCAAAAGATTAGTGAGGTTGAGTATCTTGTCATATACCTGTTGGCTATTGCTATGTTTTCTTTAAGAATGCTCAGGTCTATTGCCTTCTTTCATCCTGGGCCTCCTTCAATCTGAGAATTCAATCCTGGGACTTCACCAGAGCTATAGCCCTAGCCCTTTCCAAAATTTTTATTTTGAGACAGGGTCTTTCTAAGCCTTAAATTGCCCAGAGTAGACTCAAATTTGTGATCCTCTTGCCTTCCCCTCCCAAAATGCTGGGATTATAGACAGGCCCTACCATCTATGCCTGTCTTCTCTATGCCTATTTTTAATCTGATTTTTTTTCTTATTTTTGTTGTTATTGTTGTTTATTTGCTTGGTTGGTTCCTTACATATTTTGGATATTTACTTTTTTTTTTTTGAGACAGGGTCTGGCTGTGCAATTTAGGCTAGCCTTGCACTTACTTTGTAACCCAAGCTGGTCTCGAACTCACAATGATCCTCATGCCTCAGCTTCCTAAGTGCTAGGATTACAAATATGAGCTTTACCTTTGTCAGATGTATAGTTTGCAAACATTTTCTTTCATTCCTTAGGTTGTCTCTTTACTATTTCATTTTCTTTTTTGTTTCCTATGCTTTCGGAGTCTTATTTTTTAAAAAATCCTTGCCTGTTCCAATGTCCTAATATATTTCTCTTGTTTTCTACTAGTAGTCTTATAGTTCCAGGTCTTATTTTTAAGTCTTTCATGTGTCAAATTGATTTTTCTAATAAAAGGCAGAGATCTAGTGTTGTTCTTCTGCATGTAGGTATCTAATTTTTCCAGTATCATTTACTGAAAAGACCACCCTTTTCTCAATGTGTATTCCTAGGACCTTTATTAAAAATCAGTTAGCTATAAATGCATGGGTTTATTTTTTTGCATTTTGTTCCTCGGTCTATATGTCTATTTTTAGGCTAATGTCATGCTGTTTTGATTATTACAGCTTTGTACTATTATTTTCAAGTAAGGTAGTATAATGCTTTTGGCTTTGTTCTTTTTGTTCAAGTTTGTTTTAACTATTCAACTTTAAAATATCCTATCTGAAATAATATTTTTAAAAAGTATATATGAAGGAGCAGAATTTTAAAATCCTAATTTTACCTTGCTCACAAAGCAACAAAATTCCTAGTCTGACAAAACCAGAAATAAATCAATAAGTGGCAGCACTTATTATGAGAATCACGAGGTGTCTTAGGTGGGTTACTATAAGTTTGGTGAGCTGTTCTTAAAGACCAATTCTTAACACTAAGTATCACCTAAAGCCAAGAAAAAATTTTCACCTGCTTTGGGACTCCGGAGCTTTACACTCTAAAAGAAAAAGGGAAGAAAAAAATATAAGAATATGTATATATATTATACAAACTCAAAGCAATAAATAGCATTTTGAAAATTATTTTTCATATACCTATAGAAATAGTTATGAAATGTAGATCCTATGTTTCCTAATTAATGTGTTGAATTATAAAAAGTTATACTTAATTCTTAGTGATTTTTATATCATATAGCAATTAATTCTAAATTGATCCCCTTCTAACTTCTTTTCTACTTAGGACATTTTCCTGAAAATTTATTTACAGATAAATTGTTCAAATTGTAGTTACTTCATGACATTGGGAAGGGAGAAGGAGTGATTGTTCTTTCCTGTAAGCATTAAGATAAAGACCACTAGATATGTACATATTGCTAACAACAATAGTAAGTTACTACTACTTTATATATTTATTTATTTATACTACCAAGTATTGAACCAGGGCCTTGCTCATGTTAAGCAAGTATTCTACCACTAAACTACATTTCCAACTCTTATTTACTTTGATACAGTATTCACTAAGTTACTAAGACTGGCTTCAAACTTGGAATCCTTCTGCCTCATTTTCCCACATATCTGGAATTATAGGTGCATACAACTACATTTATCACTAAAATTGTAATTTTAAAAATATTTAAAGATAGAAATAGAAAATACTTTCCCCAGTATTAGAATTTTAAGGACCTTTAAGTATTCGTTAGTTACTTTTGTGATCTCTGATATTTTAATGTAGTTGGTTAAAAAAATACATTATAGTTTTTTTTTTCCAGAAAGGGGAGCATATTATTCCAAAGGGCTATTTTAAGCAATATACACGTCATTAAAAAATAGTCTCTAGAGGCTGGGGATTTAGCTCAGAGGCATAAGCACCTGCCTTGCAAGCAGGCAGTCATGAGTTCAATCCCTGGTACCGATAAAAAGTTTAAAAAAAAAATAGTCTCTAACCAGCTTGCCTCCCTGGTAAGCAGCCATGGCTTGGGCAAGCTGCGGCTGCCCCAGGGGATGAACCACCCAGCATCTCCCACAATCCACACCACGTTGGAACTTAGGGCACTGGGAAACCAAGCAACCAGCTCACCTCCCTGGTAAGCAGCCATGAGCCTACTGGCGCACGGGCTGAGAATCAAACATCCCATCCCTCCCCACCTGCACACCCCCATTAGCAATTGGAAGCCAAAGGTCTGAGCATCTCTTGGGAGACTGGCCAGTGTAGCAAATAGAGGGATTTCCTTCTACCATTTCTTTGAAGGCAAATATTGTTATCATTGTCTTGATTTGTTCTGATTAACTGTATTGCTCTATTCAATATTCTGTTTTGATAAGTTCTACAATTTTCTGTATTTTGTTTGATTTTGCTATACCTGATTAAAAGAACAACTATTGTGCAGATAACAAGATATTCTATGGTACCTATTACTGTTATCCCAGTAACCTGCTGTGAAGTTCTGTACCAATTTCACTGCACTGTCTCAATTGGCTTTGTTCTGTTGTATTTTACTACCTTCAAAATAATTTTAAAAAATAGTCTCTGTAATATATTGTCTCAGTTATTACAATATTGACTATGAAATGACTACCGTGAACAAACTACCTACTTATGAAACACTTATTTTGCCTCACCTATCCTAGAATTAGCTCAGTGTTTCTTCATTCACTAAATTTCCTTGATTTCTTCCAAAATGAAGGGATTTCTTATTTTTAAAACATTGATCATATTTGCCTTGTTACAATGTAACACTATACAGGGAGACAAAAATAATGACTATATACACACTGTATATCTCAGCTATAAATTTTTCAGGGTTTTTGTTTATTTGGCTGGATGGCTGGTTAGTTTTTTGAGACAGGGTCTGACTACATAGTTCAAGTTGACGTTGAACTTACTTTGTAGCCCAGGCTGGCCCTGAACTCATGGTGATCCACCTGCCTCAGCCTTTCAAGTGCTAGGATTAAGATATGCACCACCAGCCTGGGTCAACTGTAAGTTTCTTAAAAGTAAGAATTGTGTCTTATAAATCTTTCTCATACCCCACACCTTGTTTTATGTTTAACATCTACTTAACATTATTGAATGATAGATGTTAAAATACATAGAATAAAAATATAGTCTGTTGAATCCAAATGAGAAGTGTTATGGTTTATATCTAGAAGTCCCCCAAGAGCCTCATGCATTCATAGGCAGTGCTTTTGGAAGGTGATTGGATTATGGGGGTTTATCACAAACTTGCTGTTAGGAGAAGGCGGGGGTGACTGGAAAGTTTTATCTGTCTCCCCAGTTCCTGCCTTCTGTCTAGGCTTCCTGGTCATCATGAGGTGAGCAGCTCTGGCTTCCTCCACTCCCCCCTGCCATACTGTCTTGTTTTGTAGCCAGCTGATTATGGAGTGAAAAATCTGCAAGCTGTAACTCAAACTTTTCCTCCTTTAAGCTGAAAGTGTTGTTAAGCTGATATTTTGTTCCAAAGAAAAAGAAAGTGATTAAGACAAGAAGTCAGAGAAAAATTACTGACCTTGCTTGGCTTAAGCCTCACAGAGTCATCAAATGTCTGTGTTTCAGAAATTCTGCTCCATTCCAGTGATGTTCCAGTTTGTATCTTCACAGGTGAGGATAAGGATTTGGGTTCACTTGGTGGTAATTCTCCTGGAAGAAAGAACATGGCCCAACTCTCAGGAGTTGTGTTACTCTTCTAGAGATCAACTGTTGCCCATCAGTAGCACACAATACTGAGGGGACCTGAGAAGTAATACACTTCATACTTACTGAATTGTACTCACCCGCTTCCTCTACCACAATAAAAGATTCAGGTGTTCTTTCAGGAAGTGGAGGGGGGATTTCATCATCTATCTTTGGAGAAGATGCTATCCAGAATGTCAGAAATATAACCACAATTTTTGGTTAGAACAACCCAACAGTATTTCTTATATTCTAATCTAATCCTTACTGTAAATTTAATAGAATGCATGTTTAAATTTCATTAAATGCATTAACAGTAGTTTATCTGGTACTTGTTCACTCAAGGAAAAATCAGAATAAATTTATCTTTAGGTACAAACTCAGGAAGTTTTTATTGTTCCTTATTTTTTCTTGTTATTTAAAATATATGATCTGTTTTAAAAGCCCAAAATTATTTCATCGAATCATTGACTATCAGTATTGTTTTCTACATTACTTTTTATCTTTAATATAGACCATACAATAAAGTCCTATGAGACATTTGCATGTAGCAAAGATTCAGTTACATTACAGGTAAAACCTTAGTATTCCTTCTTTGTTCCACACAAAATCCAAAGATATAAATGTTTTCTGCTTTTACAAAACAATAGTTTTACATGGTTTTCTATACCTTTATAGAAACGTTTGGAATTTGTATAGAAATTTTAAGTGCTATAATAAGAAACTGCCACCAGATGGCCCATGTCTATATTGTTATAATCCCTGAAGACTTGTTTTTCAAATTACATTAATACTTGGAGAAGTCTAAGGTGACCTAGAAAAAAAAATCCTTAAATTGTAAAACAAGTCTGTAAATAAAGAATATAAAAGTGTAAAACAAAGTTTATAATAAAATATGTAAAATAATTTTTTTTGTTTTGGAACCGGGAATCAAACTCAAGACCTTGAGCTTGCCAGGCATGTCCTTGTGCCACTGAACTATATCCCCAGCAAAGTATGTAAAATAATTTAATCAGATAAGAAGCTTTCCAAATTTAGATAAAATTTTTTGCAATAAAAGTACAAATGATCTATTAAGAAGTTTATATATGGGCTGGGGATACAATTCAGGGCTAGAATGCTTACCCAGGATGCCTGAAGCCGTGGATTCAATCCCCAGCAAAAAATAAATAAATAAAAGAAAGAAAGAAGAAAAGAAAACTCTAGCCGGGTGTAATGGTACATGCCTATATAATTCCAGTCCCCTGGGAGACTGAGGCAGAAGGATCTCAAGTTCAAGTCCAGCCTGGGCAATTTAGCAACATAGCAAGAACTTGTCTCAAGATAGAAAATTTACAAAAATGTTGGGGATGTAGCTCAGTAGGAAGGCTTTGGGTTTAATCTCCAGTACCACATACATATAGACATCCCCCATATCTGAACATTCAATAATATCATTGAGCAAAAGTTTTCTTCACTTCTTACCTACGAAGAATGATGTTTATAAATTATCTAAGAGTGTTAAACTTGTTCTTTACTTTCCCTCTTCTTCTTCCACATAAATTATTATACCCTTGGCTGGGAATGTAGCTCAGTGATAGAGCACTTACCTAAAATACACAGGGCTCTGAGTTCAATGAATCCGTGCACCACAAAACAACCACAAAAAAAAGTGTAATAATCTCTGAATAGATATTCGTATCTACTCTTGGCTCAGTTAAACAAAACAATGTATATAAAACATATAAAAGATTTCAAATTATAAAAGAGGTATCAATTATGAAAGTAAAGGTATATGTATATGAAATTCTGTATGAAACAAAGTGTAAATAAGGACTAAAATTCCATACAAAACATCCAACAGATGTTCTCATCTACCAGGAAAAAAAGGCAGGAAACTAAGTTCTCCCCTTGCAACTCCCACAGGAAAAGAATTCAGTACTTAACAAGATGTTCAACTCATTATAGCTACCCAATTGTGCAATGAAAATTTTGGGTGAAGGCGTGGTTCTGCTGATCAGATTTTTTTTTCCTGCCATTTTTTGGAAGTTGTTTCTTAAGGCTAAACTGTGGGCCTCTGTTAAACATTTCCAGAAGTGAGTTTTGCCTTGTTAGAAGCCCTTGCATTGGCACAGATCCTGTACTAGATCTGATTGCCACTACTACTACATGTTTCATGGACTATATCACATGTTTGACGCTGTTTTCACCTTATCTATCGCATCATTAAACATTACTAGAATTTATTTCTTGGAGGAGGAGAAAGAAAAAGGAATACAATTAAGCAGAGAAGAAGGTATAGGTTAAAAAGACATCAAATATTTTATAGAAACAATTTAAAATCTAAAATGGCATACAAACTTTAAAGAATAACTTACTCACTACAGCCGTCTCTTGGGTCAGTTGTGGGGAAAAATTGGTCAGAGGATTCAATGCTGAAGAGTCATTTGAGTTGTAATAAGAAAAGTGGATTGTAGAGGATGCTGGCAATGAAGAGCAAGGAAAAACAGTTCCATCTTGCTTCTCAGGTAAATCAAGAGATATTTTACAATCAGCACTACTTGGGTGCAATGATGAAAAATAAGGTTCCTCTACTAAAGACATGCCAGAACATACACCCAAAGCACTAGAGCCATGCTGCTTTACATTTAAAGCATCGGACATTTGGTGGTTAGAGTCATATGATAGTGAATGATTCAGTTCTTCTGAAGAAACATGTGCCATTTTTTTAGCTTGGAACTCCACAGGACAAGAACTGTGAGCTTGAGATTCCAAACATGAAAAATTTTCCTTAATGTCCAGCTCCTCAATTGTTCTCTGCTGTATTGATTCAAAGGGAGTTGATTTGGTTCGTGTTATTGGCCCCTTTGAATTAAAACATGTTCCTCCTGCATTTATAGATTGAGAATTAGGACATGCCCCCAACAAACTGGAGCTGAAGTCCAAACTTTTGTGCTTCTGAAGAGGTTCTCCAACTGTTAATAATGTCTTTGTTTGCCATTTGTTGATTGTGTTGACAGTTTTGTTACAACCATAGTTTAGCTCCAAAAAGTCAAAAGATGGACTTGATTTAGCAGGATGCAAAACTAACTCTTCCTTTGCACTTATTTCAGAAGTCCTAAAGTTAAAGGAAGAAACTTCTGCATTTTCCACCTTCAACTTTTGTTTGCTCTGTTGGTTCATCATTTTTGCTTCCTTTATGGTGCTGAAATAAATAAACAAAAGAGTAATGATGACACCATACCTCAGAAAGGTCTCCTCCCAGCATTACAATAAAGTGTAAGCATAATATTCATCTTGTAGACACAATTAGCCAACATTTGGATATGTAACATGATACTTACATTTTTGGTAAATTAGGAGAATGAGATTCTGCTTGTAGAGTAGGATTTTGCTCAGGAATTGAATACTTTGCTTGAATCTTCAAGAGAAGTATGTTAGAGATTGGTTTGTTGTGAAGCAATGTCAAGGAAATATTTTAATATTCAGAAGGCCAAGAAGTAATTTTTCAAAAAATATAAGGATCTAAAATAATTCATGAAAAATTTAGATAATGTTTCTGAAATATTGAACCCAGCAAACACTTGTTCATATAATGAACTCTAAAGGATTAGAATAAGAGATCAGCAGTGTTATTTAAACTAAAAAGAATTTACTTATAGTATCATTTTTTTTCCAAATATGGAATTTTGGTGGGGGAGTAACTTCAGTTTTAATAATACTCTACCGTCAGAAATTTTAGTATCTCATTCCTAAGAGTTAACAAGTATTCATTAAGCCTTGTCCTTTCCTCTTCTTGTTTTCCTCTTCTCTTTCATGTACACTGGTTTTCTTGCCATCCTTTAGCATTCCAAACTTATTTCCACATGTACTCTTCACATTGATTGATAAACTCTGGCTACAAATTTTGTATGGTTCACTCCTTTTAGTGTTCTCTGGTTTTTTGGGTGTTTGTTTTTTTTTTTTCTTTTTGGTACTGGGAATTGAACTCAGGATTTTGTGATTGCCAGAAAGGCGTTTGTGCCACTGAGCTATATTTCTGGCCCTTAGATCTCTGTTTAAATGTCATCTGCATAAGGAAATTTTCCCTTAGCACTCAACCTAATATATCCTCATGCTTACCCTGCTACTCTCAATCTTTATTTTCTTCATGGAAAGTGTCATATTATGAAATTTATTGGTGTGGTTCAGGAAATCTTACAATACTGTTCTTTGCTAACTATATCTTGATTTAAGAGATATTATAATGTAAAAATACATCATTATAATTTTAAGATATGACCTGTTATGGGTTTGGGTCACCCCTAAAGTCATGTTGAAATCTGAACCTTGATATCAGTATGATCTTACTTGGAATTTAGGTCACTGCAGATGTAATTAGCTTAGATGAAGTCGTACTGGATTAGAGTGAGCCTGAATATAATAATAAGTATCCTTCAGAGAAGAGAAAAGAGAAACATGGAGACACACAGGAGAATACCATATGACAAGGGAGTCGGAGACTGACGTAACGTATCTATGAGCCAATGAATGTCAAGAATTGCCAACAAACACAGAAACAAAGAATCAGGGAACATTGTTCCTCTAGAGTTTTAGACAGCATGGCTCTGTCAACTCCCAGACATCAGACATTGGGCTCCAAAACTTGTTAGGAGATAAATTTCCATTGTTGTAAGTGCCCCCAGGTTGTAGTATTTGTTACAGCAGCCCTAGTAAACTGATACAGACACTTCTGTACCATTCAGCAAACATTCAGTAGAGGATAGAAAAGCCAGACTGAAGTTCAATAAGGAAACAGAACTGAAAAAACACCATTAACCAAACAGACTTAACAGACATACATACAATATCCACTATATGTGGATATTGACACATTCTTCTCAAATATACAAGAAACATTTTTTGGGATAGTAAGCCATATGTTAGGTCACAAAACAACTCATAGTTAATGTTAAAAGGCACATACAGTATATGTCTCCCAATCACAGTGAAATGAAACTAGAAGTCAATAACATAAGAAGAACTTGAAAATTCTAAAGTATGTGGAAATTATACAAAACACTCTTAAAACAACCAATGAGTCAAAGAAGAAATCACAAAGGAATCTAAGAGATACCAGAGACAAATGAACACAACAAAATGGAGTTTATGAGAAAGAGTGATGCCAGATGTGGTGGTGCATTCCTGTACTGCAGCACTAGGAGGCTGAGGCAGAAGGACAAGTTTGAGGCCAGCCAAGGCTACATAGTGAGCTCAATACCAGGCTGAACTATGTAGCAAGACCTTGTCTTGGAAACAAGCAAAACACTGACAAGCTTTCTCAACAAAGAAAAGTCAAAGAACAAAAGTCTTCACTGAAAATTCTTTTCCTTCTTTACTTCTGCAGTCTTCTCTCATTACCCTCCTCCATCCTTCCCTCTCTTTCTTCCTTTTTATTTTCTTTTTTTCAGCATTGGAGATTGACTGAACCCAGAGCTGTGCACATACTAAGCAAGTACTCTTATCACTGAACTATATCCTCAATCTTTTTATTTTTTATTTTGAAAAAAGGTCTCATTAAGTCACAATATGTGACAACATGATAGACCTGGAAAACATTATGCTACATGAAATAAGAACAGAAAGAAAAATGAATGAACTCATTTATATGTGAAATTAAAACTAAAATAGAACTCATCAATGCAGAGTAGAGTGTGGTTACCAAGAAGAGGAAGGGAGGGTTTGGGGAAGATGTCAGTAAAAGGTTACAAAATTTCATTTAGACAATAAGAATAAATTTAAGAAATTTAATATATGACTACACAATATAGTGTATGCTTAAATTTTAAAGAACCTAGATTTTAAATGAGGTAATGAATATGTTAATTAGCTCAATTTAGTCATTCCACATTGTATACATATGTCAAAACATCATGTACACCATATTTATTTAAAAATTTAAACTTAAAGATTTTAATCAGACCTTAGCAATTAAAATAAAGCTAGTGTATCCCAAAAAAAAATCACTCAGCTCTGATCATTTTATATTTGTTACTCTTACTTCTAACTTGCAAACAGTTATATAAAATATGAGATCAGAACATAGTTGCCCTGTATAAATAACTTTTCCAAAATTAGCTTAAAATTGTATATGGTAACCAAAAGATTAATTTTCTAAGTTAAATTATCTAAAATTAATTATCTGGTACAGTCTCATGCATATCGGACACTACAATTTAGCTGTGACAATAGATAAGTCCTACAATTAATCTGAGATCCTTGGACCAAAACCATGAAAAAAATGTTGTACTACTAATTTAAACTTTACCTCTCTTCCAGACTGTTTATCTTCAATAACATCCACATGTCTCTTAAAAAGTTCTAATACTGCACTGTAGACCAGTTCATACTGTTCCTGAAGAGGATCACAAACCAGATCAAATGAGGAAAACCAAAAAGCTTGGGGAGCTACTAAATAAGATTCAAGATTATGAACCCCATCAAATACTTGAAAAGATTATCAACAGTTATTAAACTTTTTGCTTATATTACCCATTTAAGATTCCAAAGAAATTGCTAGAAATTGTTAAATATTTTGTTTAACTGTAGCTAATGTACAAATATTTTATGGCACGTTTCTTTTATGCTGTAATCCAACTTTCTTATTTATCTTTCTTCCTCCATCTTCCCTTCTAATTCTGTTTTTCTTTGTACACGTTTTTAATAGTGTGTTTCACTCTAAATGTATTTTTTTTATTTAAAGAAAAAAATAAAACAGTATAAGGGTACAAGTAATACAGAATTACAAAAAAAATGGTAAAAAATCACTAGTTAATAGATTACGTATGTCATCTTAAAAATAGTTGTTCAAGTTACAGGATTAAAGCATACATCTTAAAAATAGTTGTTCAAGTTACAGGACTAAAGCATACACTTAAATGGTGAGACTACAAACAGTTGTGTTCAGTGATCCAACAAAAACTCAGTAATATGGTCATCTATCTTAACACACCTAAACACACTTGCAGTTGTATCCTTTAGAGCACTTTTTTTTTCCCTCTCTTTTTTACAACAAAATGTATACATTTGGGTTTTATTACTCCCATAGTTCTTATTACTTTTTTTTGAAGAGAATAAAACCAAATATGACAAAACAAAGCAGTCAGTCAAAACAAAGGATAAACATAGCACATGATGTAAAAACAATACAAGGTTATCAACAATGGTTACCATAATGCCTCTTGCTGCCTTAAAAAGAATTGCCTATATCATTAGGTATACACTAAATGTATTTTTGTAAACTATCTTCTTCTTTCCTGGAAAAAAGTACATGATAGTTGATATATAGATAAATAGCTCCAATATATATTATCTAACTTCACTCTCATAATTACTCCATGAAATAGGTAGGCTATTATACTCATTTATAAACAATTTTTCCAGTATCATTCAGAAATAATTTCTGGGACTTGGCATAGAAACTAAATCTTCTAACTTTTAGTTTAGGGTGTGCACTTAGATCAAGTTGCTAAAATTTTGTCCTAGTAAAGAGACCGTAGGAAAGTAAACCATTGAATAAGCTTTGGAAATTTGTGGTTATATAAAGATTTGCTGTAGAGAAATGACACTTACTATTATAATATTATGGGTTTTTACTACTCTGCTTTTGCCTCTGTACCAGCTCAAGTATTTTCTCTGACACTTTACATAATCTTATACAAGTAAAGAACAACTTTTTTAAATAGTGATTTTTATCAGGAGCATCATGTAGTCTGTATTACCCAACATCAATGTTACATGCTTTAATTTTTTTTTTTGAAAAAGGAATCAGACAGGAAGCACTCGTCTGATTATAGTGCCATTTTGTGGTTAAAGTAATGTCAGATAAAGCAGCTATGACTCTTAAGATATTTGTTCAGTTAGTCATTGACAATGTCAATATGTGAAGGCCTTTTGAGCCATCTTCTAAACTTAAAAAGTAAGCCTGAAATGGAATTTTCTGAATGTGTTATAGTTTTATTTAGTGTTATAACTTATATAACTAGATTACATGCTTCCTAGAATCTTTGTACATTTACATGGATCATTATCCTTTCAAGTCTGATAGAACTAAACCAACTAATGCTTTCACTTCAAATAAACTTTCCCCCTTATAGGCTGAATATAGAAAACACCTACAGTCGACACATTAAAAAAATATTTTTTTCCACAAGCTATTAGTGGAAAACCTGTGTGGGCCAAACAGATCGGTTATATTGTAATAGCTCTTCATTTTCCCCTTCAACTCACAACTTCTAGATTAAAATATCTAACCTGCCACTAAACAAGTGGTAAAACCACTTGTTTTACCTGTAAGCCTGAGAACAAGTTCATTTATAAGTGCCAGAAACACTAGATTCTGATCAGTTATGTTCATTAAGTTATTTAAAAGTAGCTCTAGAAAAACTAGGCAAAATCTCTTTAGATATCATAAATATCAATTAACAGTTTTTGATGAATCAGTTAGTAAATTCTAACTTCCATCTTAAGGATGGAGACCATATAGAAATAAGGGCAAAAATATTGATGTAGAAATAAGGGTACAGAGGCCAGAGATGCAGCTCAGCAGCACCAGCGCCTGCCTGGCAAGCACAAGGTCATGAATTCAATCCCCAATTCCAAAAAATAGTATTAAAAAAAAAGAAGAAGAAAGAAAGAAATATGGGTATAGCTGGGCATGGTGACCCACTCCTGTAATTCCAGCACTCAGGAGCCTGAGGCGGGAGGATCGTTGCAAGTTCAAGACAAGCCTGGGCTACAAAGTGAGCTCAAGGCCAGTGTGAACTGCACAGTGAGATCCTGTAACAAAAGAAGATGAAAATGAAGAAGAAGAAGAGAAAAAAGGAAAAAAAGAAAGGAAGGAAGGAAGGAAGGAAGGAAGGAAGGAAGAAAGAAAGAAAGAAAGAAAGAAAGAAAGAAGAAAGAAAAAATTAATGCTATGGCCAGATTTAGGCCAGGAAGAGAAATGAAGAGCACTCCTGATAGAATGATTGTGGGCAATCCACAGGGGATTTGGAATTGTGATATATAATAGAGTATGGTTGTAATTATGGTTTTCTAAAGAACAGGCAAAACTCCAAAAATTGGTAATAGTGACTTTCTCTAAATGTTAGAAAGGTGGTTGCTTTTTAATTTAATTATCATTGCTTTCTGAAATAAGCATATGTGCTACCTTTACCAGATTTGTTACTATCTCCTAAAATAAAAAATACAAATTCCTCATTTTCTATGGCTTTAGTGATGGTTTTATTACAAAATTTCACATTAATGTGACTCTAAACACATTATTAAGAGTCACAATAAGAAACAATATTTCAGAAAGAAATAATAAGTCAGCTTAAATTTTTAACATCTTTTATAAATACAAATTACTATATTCTTAACATTTTTTAAACAGAGGGTAAAATTTAAGGAATGAAAAGAATTTGACACAGGACAAGGGATGCATGAAAACTATCAGGATAGTCAGAATTAGAGAAATGTGTTGAGCTTTAAAACACTACACAGTAAATTGCTGTTGTATTTGAATAGTCAGTTATTTTTGTGCATCTATAGATGGAGCAAGACTCAAACACATATTCTGAAATGTTCACCATAGTTCTTACCTGAGTTTGAACTAATGAAGGTCTCTGTGTTCGCATTTCCTGGATTAAACTAAAAATGCTGAACTTCTCAGGAATTATCTATCAAATAAAAGGGGAAAATTTATTTCTTTTTGTCATTTGTTAACAAAGCATTGTTACTTTCTCATAATCTTGTACTTCTGTGACATCTGCTCTCCTAACAGGGAATAATAACAAAAGAAAAACGCATTGTAAAAACAAATGTGACTTCCCAGCACTTGTATCATAATGTAGAGACTAGTGTTTTCTAATGTTTTTAGGGTCATCTAATGTCTGAAACTAAAGACATGAGAGATGAGACTCAGCAGATGGGCCAGGATGAGAGCTTTGTGAAATAACAGAAATGGACAGATAGATCCAAAACCCATATTTTAAACTTCATATTTTCCTAATAGCTGTTAAAAATGATTTATGAGCCAGGCATGGTGGTGCACATCTGCAATCTCAGCATTCTGGGAGGCCGAGTAAATTCTGTAGAATTAAGAAAAACTGCAGTTTGAATGCAGTCTGGGCAATTTAGCAATTTAGCAAGACTCAGTCTCAAAAAGTGAAAATAATGGGGATGTAGCTCAGTGTAAATGCCCTGGAGTTAACCCCTAGTATCACAAAATAATATAGATATAGAGATATAGATATAGATAGGGATAGGGACAGATAGGTAGAGAGAAAGAACACAACATATGATTCAGGTTAAGTTGAGACTATCTGCTAAACAGTTTGGACAAAGGAAAAATAAGTATGTACTTTAGGACTGTAGCTCTTAAATTTTAGCATACATCAGAATCACCTGGCGAGCTTGTTGGGCTATATCTACAGAACTTCTAGATGAGTCCATGGTATAGGGCCCCAACAAATCCCTGGTAATGCTGATGCTACTTGTCTGGGCACACTTTTCAGTGCTGGAGATCAAACTCAAGACCCTACACAAGGTAGGTGAATGCTCTTTCACTGAGCTGCACCCCCAGCTTTTGGGACCACATTTTAACCAACCTAGGAACTACACCAACCTATGAACTAATTTAGTTATCTGATAGAGTATGCCTACGAGTAAATGTTCTATAAAAGATGAATTTTGAAGATGTTTTGAAACACAAACATATTCTTCAATCTGAAAGCAATGGAGTAAACAAATAGGAAGTGCCTGCTGAGAGAGACTCACCCCGTCTTTTAGCAACATCCATGTATAATCAATAGCACAAATAACACCAGTCCTTCCACAGCCAGCACTGAAATGAAAGAACACAGTAGATTTATACTTAGAGAGAGTAGATCATTGACAGTAGCTGGAAATTTTCACCATGACATTTGAGGAAACTCAAGTGGAGCCTATGAAGAAGATTTTCAAACCCTACTATTTTCCAGAGCATGTTTATCACACCACAGTGAACCTCAGGACAGGTCCATAGCAACATCTCACAACAAGAGTCACTAAAGCTATAATGTTCACAAGCAACATCAGGAAAACATGAATTTAACATTGAGGTTGAACTTCTTGCAGTTTGTCTCTGCTACTGACCTTTTGCTTTCAACTACAGAGTGTGACTGGATCTTTGGTTTGTTCTAAGCAGAAGGTTCACACACAGCACCCTACCTGCAGTGAATGCATATGGGAACACTGTCGTCTTCCTGGTAGCCACGCATATCCCAGATGAGCTCAAGAATAGGGTCTACAGATGAAGGCACATCATGGTCTGGCCAGTTCTTATAATGAAACTGGTAGATAGTTCGAGTTTCCTATGAAAAATAGCCTGAATGAGAGCAGAGTTCAAGGTTGGGAGTGCCTAACCTAAAAAAATAGTCAGCCTGGGCTATTGGTACATGCCTTTGTCCCAGCACTCTGGGAGGCTGAGGCAGGATGATCACAAGCTGGAGCCCAGCATGGGCAACTTGGTGAGACCCTGTCTCAAAATAAAAAATAAAAAGGGCTAGAAAACAGCTCATTGCAAAGGTCCTGAGTTCAGTCCCTAAAACATCATCATCATCATCTGACTAAGTATATATGTTCTTTTGGGTAATTTATGCTCTTTTCTTCTCTATAGGTCCAGTTGAACAGATGCCTTACAAATAAGTGATTTGAGGCTAACCCAAACCATCCCATTCACAAGAGGAGGTAGATATGAAAATATTCCAAACCAGATCTTCCCAAATAATGTGTCTTAAATGGGTCACAGACATGCTGATACACTAAACTCTTTGCTTCAGAAAGGATAAATAGGGCTTAGGGAAGCCTGAACTCACAAGTTGCTTCCCAGTCTCTAACCACAGCCTCTTTTTACCCCATGAGTATCATCATTTTATATATGCTCCATGGTGTGGGACAGATTAGAAAGCAGAGATTATACCAGAGATCTCTTTTAATATGAAGACTTATTCAGGACATATTCCCCACTATTCCCCATACTCTTTTGTCCAGAACTGAGTCACACACATATATCTACCTGCTGGGTCTCCAGAGCTGTTTGAGGTTATCTTTCCTATCCTATACTTACACTGTTGAACTTGGCTTTTAGAGTCCTGATTATATAATCAGATTTCCTCTTTTCAGTTTCCTAAGAAAAAGAAGATTAAAACATTAGCAATTTCAAAAGCACATTCTCTGTAAAGTAGATCCTGGAGGCTTTGCTCTGTCACAATGGGAACTGACATCTTACTTACACAGGATATAGAGAAAGGGCCACACTGCAGCTGCATCTGTCCTGGCTCAGCCCAGTAGCGCTCACACTTTTTCTGTTGCACAAAGCAGAATATAGTGATTTCCCTTCATATATTCTAGTCTCTTCTGGGAAATAGAACCCATTCCCTTATACAGAAGTAGATTCAGCTCTATGTCTTTCACTTTAGGTTAGACACTTTCAACCCCCTTGGGCTTCAGCCCCAACATCATAATCTGGAATCTCCCAAGAAAGCAAAAGCAAATATTAAAGAATATAAGAACTGGGGCTGGGGATTTAGCTCAGCGGCACATAGCGCCTGCCTTGCAAGCAGGCAGTCATGAGTTCGATCCCTGGTACTGATAAAAAGGAAAAAGACAAAAAAAAAAAGAATATAAGCACTGCAGACTTTCCAGAGGTCTGAAAAAATTAGAAATAGGGTTTTTGATCTATATTTCAGTATTTCAAAAGAACTAAAAGAGAACTAAGTATGGTGGCACATGCCTGTAATTCCAGCACTCAGAAGGCCGAGGCAAGACGATTACCACATGTTTGAGGCCAGCCTGAACAACATGTTGAAAACTTGTCTCAAAAAAAAAAGAACTAAAGATTCTATTTAGATTGGTTTTTGGTTTGATTTTGCTCTTCCTGATGGAATGGACAACTATTGTGATGATAACAAGATAAACCATGGCCAGGGATTTAGCTCAGCAGCACAGAGCCTGCCTGGCAAGTATGAGGTCGTGATCTTCAGTAAAAAAAAAAAAAAAAAAAAAAAAAAAAGTATAGTAGCTATTGTTGTTTTCCTGGTATCCTGCTGTGAAGTTCTGTACCAATTTTGCTGCATTGTTTTGATTGGTTTTGTTCTGTCTTGCCTTGTTGGATTTTACTAACTTTAAAATAAATAAGAACTGAAGAAGCATATATGTATATTAAAGCAGCTGTACAATCCAAATGAAACACCAAATTTCCTTGGTTTAAATCAGAATTTCCATCTCAGAATGGCAATAATAGTTTAGTACAGTGATACTGAATAAAAATGTCAGTCACATGTGCAATTTTAAATTTTCTAATTGCCAAATTCAAAAATGAAAAAAGACAAAATTAATTTTAATAATATATCTTAGCCCATATGTCTATAAATCTCTACATGTAATTAACATACAATCATTCATAGATACTTGAATTGTTTTTGAATTTATCTTCCAAATCCTGTCTGTATTTATACTTATAGCTCATTTTATTTACTATGCTAAATCTTCATTGGAAATATTTTCTTTTCATTTATATTTAAATAAAAGTTACATTTGAAAAAGTTTCACTTGCTCAAATGGTCCCAAATAAACTGAAAGTTTCCCAGTAACTGAATTAACCATATTTTAAAATTTAAACCAATTAAAACAAAATAAAATGATTGACTTCCTCTGTCACACTAGCCATATTTTAAGTGCTTAGTTAACTACGTGTGGCTAATGGATGTCATTTGGGATAGCATAAAACTAGATGCTCTGAGCAGCAGCTATAGATAGCTGATAAATGGAAATGAGAAAGAGAATTGTTACTTTTAAAAGTATACTTTGTTTCTACTTTATTTATTCATTTTGGTTTTTTGAGACAAGTTCTCACTCTGTAATTCAGACTGGCCTTAAACTCACTATTTAGCAGAGGCTGGCCTTAAACTCGTGGTGATCCTCCTGCCTCAGCCTACCAAGTGCTGGAATTACAGGTGTGCAGCTTCACACTCAGCCTGTTTATACTTAAAACACAGAGTCTCCAGGGGAAACAAGATCTTGAGGGTGCAAAACTTCTGAGTCCTGTGGCATTCCCAAACTGAAAACTAGAAAGCTAGCATGATGTTTTTAAACTAGGCACACTTAAGATAAATTCTATTATCAATTTTTTCCATTTTCTTCTTTACTTTTAGATCAACAGACACTAGAAAGTGACTCACCTTTCCCATTTCAAACTCCATACATGCCATAACAATGATCTGGGGGGATGAAATAGATAGAAATTTAAAACATCTTTAAAGCTAGAAAAAAAGATAATACATGGGCTCCAGGCTCAGAAAGTGCACATCGTTTTTCTGCATTGCTTGGTTTGCTTCTTAACCAACAAAGACATCCTGATAACTTATATTCTTCCTTTTTTCTGTCCCCACTTCCCTTTTCTCTATTCAAATCGGTAAAGCCATGTTACTAAAAGGGCCTGTCAAGGTGTGAACTTTCATTTCCTTGAACAAAAATGACATTGTCATTTTAATAAAAAATGCCTGAACCCTGAAATTCCAATGATTAATTTAAAAAAAAAACAAAACAGATTTGGTAGACAAGAAAATCCATCATGTCTAGACACTCTACCCACTTTTACCCTAAGAACTACAGAATAAAGTAACAGAAGCAAGTCTGTGTTTACCAGAACACTGTATTCCCAAATCATTCTCCAAAAGTCCAGAAGAGTTGTAGGCAAAGGTCCCTGTGTGGCAATATAAGCCTTGGGTGCATACACTCCCTGCAGAGGAAAAGAAGTTATATCAAGTGACTGCAGAAAAGACAATCTTCTTCTCACCTAACCCTCTCCCCATTCCCTTTATTTGTTTAGCTTGTTCTTTATTTTTTGAGAAAGGATCTCACTATGTAGCTCAGGCTATCCTTGAACTCAAAACTTACTATGTAGACCAGGGTGACCTGGAACTCACAGTGATACTCCTGTCTCAGCCACCCAAGAGGTGGGATTGCAGGCATGCGCCACCACACCCAGCCTCATTCCCTTTTTCAAAAGTTTCTAGAGAATTAGGAATACTTTTATTTCTTTTCAGCATACCTTAATGAAGTTGGCATTGATGTAGCTAGAATCCTCATCAGAAGTTATCAGGGACAGCTCTACCCGGCTATGATCATCTATAATAAAAAAGAAAGAAAGAAAGAAAGAAAGAAAGAAAGAAAGAAAGAAAGAAAGAAAGAAAGAAAGAAAGACCATGTAACTAAGAAGGCTGACAGCGGGCTAAGTTATAGCCTAACACTGTGAATACTGGGTATAGTTACATGTTGGACTTTTCTACAGTCATGAATAAATGCCATGTTCTAAGATTATGAACACAAGCAGCAGGTAAAAAAAAACAAAAATGCTTGACATTGAGAGGAGAGATGTACTTACAGGGAGAAATGGAACTTACACGGCAAAATGTCCTTATATCTGTTTTTTTTTATATTCATGGGCTTCTGAGCCACAGCTGTAGGGTAGGTTTTGTCTGCTTTGAACTTGGTGGACTGCTTTTTCAGCTTCTGCAATAAAATTTCAAGAAAAATTAATTTTCCTTTAAATAAAAGGGGGTAAGAATTTACCTCTAGAAAGTTTTCCTATTCCATTTCAATTATTTTAGCATCCTCTGGGGCACATTTCATTAAGGACAGGGATAAAGACAGCACAATTCAGTGACATTTGGAGAAGTGAAAAGATCATACTTAACTGCAGCTGAGCCACAGATAGTTAAAATTGAAAGGTGAAATTGGTGCATATTTAAAAATATATATTTTCTGAAAGTAATCTGTATATTCTGTCCAATGGGAAGATGTCAAAAATTAGGTTTACTTCCCTTTTGCTACTATTCAGGTCAATGATCAAAAGAAAATTATTAGGTTCCGTTATTCTTCTTACTCCAGATCACTTTTCACTTTTTTTTTTTTTCTTTATTTTGTGGTACTGGGGATTGAACTCATGACCTTGTGCTTGCCAGGCAGGCACTTATGCCACTGAGCTAAACCTCCAGCCCCAGATCACTTTTTTTTCTAAGTGATCATGCAGTTTAGTTTAATAAAATCTCTCTATATAGTAAACTTTGAAATATTTTGGTTCCTAAGTAGTCATTTTTTTAATGTGATTCAGACTTCAAGCCTACACCCTAACCAAATAATATTCTAAACAGTATTGTATTTTGTTACTCAGACAGGCAGGCAGGCAGGAAGGCAGAGAGAGAGGGCATGAATCATCGAGACAGTGAAGTAACTTCTTAAAATTATTCTTGTTTTCCAATACTGTAAATCAAAACTTCAGGTCATAGGAAATGATAGTTCTTGACTCCTTGTTGTGAATCAATCTTATCTCATTTATCATTCAAAGAAACTATTTCTCCTGGGTCTGCATTTTGTGAGGCCCAGTCAATTTGCAAATGGAGGCTTTTAACTTCCTTATGAAATTTCCTCCTTCCTTGTTTTTTATTAGTCTACATTATCTTGGTTCTCCTCTTTCTATGACTTATCCTTCTCACTTCCTCCTGTTTTCATCTTGCATCTCTGTACTTACTTCGTCTCCTAACTGAGAATTACCTGAAGTTCCAATGTTAAATCCTCAATTCTCTGCTCTTCTCCCACTATATATGTATTTTCTCAGTTATATATCCATATGGCATACCAGCATTTGTTGATTTAATGGATTAAAATCAAATTATATTTCCAATCTCTATTGGATAAGTCTCAAATTTCTTCATCAAAATTTTCTTACTACTTAAGTCTCAAATAATCAACCATATCCTAGACAATTTTTGTTTGTTTGATTGATTTGGTTTTTTTTTCTACCAGGGATCAAACTCATGACCTTGCACTTGCTAGGCAGGTACTTATACCACTGAGCTAACCCTCCCCCCCAGTTTGGTTTGTTGTTGTTGTTTCTTTGTTTGTTTGTTTGTTTTTTTAATGTACCAGGGATCGAACTCACAACCTTGTGTTTGCCAGGCAGGCACTTATGCCGCTGAGCTAAATCCCCTTGTTTGTTTGTTTTTTGAGATGGGGGTCTTGTTAAATATTTCAGGCAGGCCATGAATTCAGTTATGTAGTCCGTGCTGACCTCAAACTCACAGCAATCCTCTTGCCTCAGCCTCCTGAGTGCTGGGATTACAGGCAAATACCACCACACCCAGATGCTACACTAGTATTTTATTACTGCCCCAGACTCAGCACATTTAAAACTAAAATCAACAACATCCCCCTTTAAATATGAATGGCACTATTTTCATCCCAAACAACCATACAACAGAAACTGAGAGTCACTTTGGGTTCCTCCTTTCCACAGTTCCCAAGTCAGTTTCAGTTAGCCTGTTCAACTGACTCTGTCCATGCAATGTCTGGTGTCAGCCTTCCTTCCCCAGTTTATTGGGGATCCTGAATTTAGGCCCTTTCCTTTGGGCATTCTTGAACTACCATCATTGCTCCTTAACTCATCTCCACACATTTTTTTCTCCACTTGAATTCACTGAGTGTAATTATGCCACATCAATTTATGCTTTTCTCGTGTCTTTTGTGCTCAAAACAACTTCAGTGAATCTATTTTGCCACTACGGAGCCAGGTAAGGTGCTCCTTAGTTGGATCCTAAGGTAACTTTCCCATATTTTTCACTGTCCCCAGTTAAAAAGCTTCTAAAAATGACTTCTAGGTTCCTTCATGATTGCACAAATTCCAAAGACCAAAAAAAAAAAAAAAAATTGCACAAATTCATAGCACTGACAAATATATGAAACATGACTTCTTTAAAACTTTTTTTCGCATAAATACATCCTTTGTACAGCTTTTATAATTCTCAGCTATTATTATGGTCTCTCCCTTCCCAGCCCCCCCCCAGGGTGAATTAATTAAGAGAAATAGGAAAATAAAGAATTTTTCTCATGTGACTAGCAACAACAACAACAAAATTAAAGAGGATTTTTACTGTTGTTAGTGAAAGTTTCTTGCCCTAGAATAAGTTACTGTACAGCTATGGTGATGGTCTAACATGGCGGAAGGCCAAAGCAGGAAGCCTACCACTTCCTCCTTCTTCCTCAGCCTTAATTGCAACTCCCCTTCCTGTTTGTGCGTGAAGAAAACTCCAATCAGCTCCTCGTGCATCATCAATGCCCGCCCTAAGCGCCACCCCCAGTCAGAGGTTTTATATATATAACCATGCCCCACATTTCCAGCCAGAGAAAGCCAGGCTGCCCGTGGTCATGGACTTTCTCTACATCCTTGGAATAAAGGCTATTTTTACTTTATAGTCTTTCTTTCATCACTCTGAAAAGTCTTTCCAGTTAGTTGCTTATATTTCCTACAGTGTTTTCACATGACTATGTTGTGTATCTATAGGTAACACTTTACCCAAGGAAACTTTTATTAAGTGATTTTAACAAAGGGTGTGGAAAGGAACCCTAAATTATAAATATGATGACACCAAGAAAAGAAAAACAGAAAAAAGAGGATGTAGAGATAAAAATTTGATCCATAAAATAATTCAAATTCATTAACTTGCCAACTTCAAAACTGGCTCAAGATAACTTGATATATATCCAAGAGACTCCCAAAGGAGAAGAAAAAGAAATTATAACTTGTTTTGAGCTGAGAGTTCATAACACATTACCAACTATCCAGAGTCTAAGTAAATTGATAGCTTATAAATACAATAAGTAGGTCATTAAATTATTTTAACAAACCAGCGTATAAGAATGTAACCTGTTTCCAGTAAAGGATTCCACATGTAATGAACAGCCAGTGCTTGCTTATTTGTGTGTATATTGTTCTAATGATTTTTTTTTTTACATTTTAGAGTTTGGTCAGACACAGGAAACCTATTCAAAGCAGGTACACAGTCAATTCTTAAGTCATAGTTTTTTTTTTAATCTTGGTTTGAATTCTTGTGAATTTTCATAATTGAATTTGGAAGGAGAAAGATGCCAAACTGATGTTTGTACAGCATATTTTTATACCAACATGGATATACTAGTGGACTACTTTGGGAAATGAATTAAGGAAATAGCACAAGCATATAGAAGACTATAAAGTATTTATACCCCTATTTTTCAACTCCTTCTGCTCTTAGGCACCTTCAGAAAAATGATTTCACAGTGCTCGGGCCTGCTGAAAAGATCTCAAGTGCCAGAATGGTTCTTTTCAGAGATCTCCAGAAATGACTCCAGTGCATTCTCCTTTGTTATGGTTTTTATTTGTTTTGTTTTTGCTTTGCTTGTAGAATGGTTTCTAGATAGAATGCTATAGGTAGAAGCTTTTCTATAAGGTATGTTTATATGATTTTGATAAAAATACTGATAAAGGTTATTCATATGTGTGTAATCTCTGTGTGTTTAGCTTTCAATGTGATCAACAATGGAGCAGAATGGCTTTTTTCTTTTCCTAGTCCTTTGTTCTTCAAAGGGTCACCTGGCTAGATGACAAAAGATAACACTCAGCAAAATATCACACAGGAAATACCTACAGAACAGTTTACTTAGAAAGTATGGAAGATTTAATCCTCCTTCTCCAAGATGTCTTCAGGGGGTCAGATCACTGTGAAGTCCTCCTTTTTTTTTTTTTTTTAAATTTTATTTAAAGAGAAAAAGAAAAAAAAAAACAGAAAAAGGGTACAATACAGAATTAAAAAAAAACAGTAAGAAATCACTGGTTAATAGATTACATATTGTCATCTTAGAAATAATTGTTCAAGTTACAAAATTAAAGCATACGAAGTGGACATTCAAACAGTGAGACTGCAAACAGTTGTGTTCAGTGATCCAACAAAAACTCAGTAATATGGTTGTATATCTTATATACTTAAATATACATGCAGTTATATCCTTTAAAGCACTTTCTTTTCCTTTCTTTTTTACAATAACAATTACACATTTTGGGTTTTATTACTCCCACAGTTCTTATTACTTTTTTTTTTTGAAGACAAACCAAATGTGACAAAACAAAACAGAATTAGTCAAATCAAAAAGATGGATATAGGGGGCTAGGGATTTAGCTCGGCAGCATAAGCACCTTCCTTGCAAGTGTGCGGTCGTGAGTTCAATCCCTGGTACCGATAAAAATGAAAAAGACAAAAAAAAAAAAAAAAAAAAGATGGACATAGTACATGATGTAAAAATAGAATACAAGATGATCAACAATGGTCACCATAATGCCTCTTGCTATCTTTAAAAAAATTGCCTATATCATCAGTTATAATAAAATTGAACAAAACAGTACAGAACTAAACCAATAAAACTGAAACACTGGAGACATTACAGGACTTCAAAAGAAGATAATAGTCAAACCAGAATGGGCATCATAGTGAATCTTATTGTCTTCAAAGTAGTTGCCTATACCCTCAAACTTAATACTATCAGGCAAACAGAATAGAGTAAAATCAGTCAAAACAAGATGGTGAGAACAATACAGGACTTCAAATCAAGCTAATAGGAAATCAAAATGGTTACTATAATATATCCTGCTATTTTTTAATTTATTTTTTCCCTTCATTAAAAAATAATAAATAAATAAATAA